GCACTGTTTATAATAGCCAGGACATGGAAGCAACCTAGATGCCCATCAGCAGATAAGGAAGCTATGATACATATACACAATGAAATATTACTCAGCCATAAGAATTCATTTGAATCAGTTCTAATGAGATGTATGAAACTGGAGCCCATTATACAGAGTGAAGTAAGCCAGAAAGATAAAGACCAATACAGTATACTAATGCATATATATGGAATTTAGAAAGATGGTAACGATAACCCTATATGCAGAACAGAAAAAGAGACACAGATGTACAGAACAGACTTTGGGATTCTGTAGGAGAAGGTGAGGGTGGGATGATCTGAGAGAATAGGACTGAAACAAGTATACTATCAAGGGTGAAACAGACCACCAGCCCAGGTTGGATGCATGAGACAAGTGCTCAGGGCTGGTACCCTGGGAACACCCAGAGGGATGGGATGGGGAAGGAGGTGGGAGAGGGGATCAGGATGGGGAACATATGTAAATCCATGGCTGATTCATATCAATGTATGACAAAAACCACTACAATATTGTAAAGTAATTAGCCTCCAACTAATAAAAATAAATTAAAAAAAAAAGAAGGGTGTGGTAAAGTAACTAATTGAAAAAGACAAAGGATATTGCATATTCTTCTTGTGCTTTTATTAATGATAGCATTAAAAATTTTTAATGTAGATTTCTTATGCTACATGCCAGCTAAAAGCCTCATGTCTTCTCAACTTCTCACCATATGAAACTTTTTTTTTTTCCTCCCAAAACTGTTTCTATGCTTATAATGTCATGTTAACTATTTGAAATAAAGGAGAATTTTAGAGGTACCCAAATGAATACAAAATTAACATTCCTCAATTTTTCCAGAATAAGACAGAGTAATAACTGATATCAGTGAAGCATTTTACAGTTTAACAGGCATAAAACTAATTTCTCAGCACCCTTGTAAAGAAGATTTTCAAATTTTAGTGATTCGGGAGCAAGTAGGCCTTCTAAGGCCAACTCTTCCAGTGTTCTGCTGCAGGTGCAAAAACTAGTGTGTTGCTCTCTCATTGTGCCACATTTACTTCTTTTGTTTCCACTTCTTAACTGTACCTCTGCATGCACTACTTTTAATTTTTAGCAGTCTTATATTTTGATTTTATTTTCTGACTTTAATGGATATAATATTACATTATCATATTATATTATATATCCATTGTTATATATATTATAGTAATATAATACATAATATATATGATATATCCATTATTATTGGATATAATAGGATTAGAATTTGAGACAATTATCAGCTTTTGTCCCGAGATTTCAAGAATGTAGTGCCTTTCTAGGAAAGATTGTAAGCCTTGTGAGAGCAGGGACTTTTTGCCTGTTCTATTCACTCCTGTCCTCCCTGCCTGGAACAATGTCAGGTGCACAGTGGGTGCTCAGTAACTATTTACATATTTTATTTTGTCTTTTTTTTAAAATAATTTTTATTGGAGTCTAGTTGCTTTACAGCGCTTTAGTCTCTGCTACACAGCAGAGTGGATCCATCACACACACATGTGTCCCCTCATGTTTAGATTCTTTCCCATTCAGGTCACCACAGAGCACTGGATAGAATTCCCTGTGCTATACTACTGTATAGTTCTGGGAACTGTAGTTTCATGAGCACTTTATATCTTTCTGTGCTTTTAAGGGTGGGTTTTTTTATAATGCTCAACTTCTTTGCTAAGGTTGTATAATAATGGCTTTAATGAACTGATGCTTAAGCGTATAATTGTGTCATATACATGTCAATAGGATAAAGATGATCAGAAGCTACAGTTATAACATGAAAAAGGGTCATAAGAAAATAAATGTAATACCTCTAGAGAGGTTCATTTAAGATAGGAAAAGAAAGGAATAAAAGTGTGGGAAATGAGAAAACAGAAAGTCTAGTTTTCTCTTTTTTTAACTATAAACTTGCAGTAGAATATTGAAAATGTGCTTCTTCTTGACACCTAAAATTAAGATTTGCATTCTTGGGAATTCAGTTTTATGTTGAAGTATTCAAAATATAGAATGTGCTACATACTCTTAAGTTGACTTTTTGCTTTGTATGTCCCTGTATTTAGAATGGGGAAATAAGATGATTAACATGAAATATCATGATAACTTTGTTTTTTGCTTAATTATTATTTTATAGATATGTGTGTTGTGGCTTATACAGGTTATTCCATCAGTTGAGAAAATGAAAAAATCTTAAATTCTCAACATTGTAGAGAAACATCTGCACTAGAAGCAAACAGGTAAGTATTTTCTTTACTAAATATTACATAAATTAATACTTCACATCTAGCCTAAATTTTTTATTATTATTTTTTCAGTTAAAATTCATTTCTGATAAAGAAGAAAAGCCAAGTCTATGGTTCAGTGTTTTTAAGTGTAGCTTGTGGAAAGTGGAGGGTGTGAGGTGATAAAGTTTATAATACATCCTTATAAAGGCTTTATGGTTATGGGCCACAGTTTCAATACATTACTTCACAGGGAATCAGAGGAGTGTGCTTTTATTGGAAGAATTTTAGTCTTTGGAATTGCCTTAGAGAAGCACTGGCAAAATTTTGTTAATCTTCAAGATATGAAATAGCTTTCATCTTTCCTAAATTCATTTAGACCAGAGTAATGGCCAGAGTATTGCCACTTGTATCTTACCCTAGCATTACATCATTAAGAAACAGGATTGGCACATTTAGTTAACGTTTGTCAACAAGAAAAAAAAAAAAAAAACTTGTGAAATTAGAAAAAGATGACCATTTTCTTTGTTACATACTGCAATTGTCTTCTTATCTTTCTAGTCTGAATTTTAAATCAGCCAGGTAGGTGAGTGACTCAGAAAATGAGTAGCTCATACCAGCACCATGGGAAGCGACATGGTGCCGTGGACAGATTTGTGCTGTATATTCCACTGTGCAGCCAGAGCCATGGAACTCAACTCCTGGTGTCACTGACAGTGGAAGGCTAACGGGAACTCCTCTGGCAGGGCTGTCTGACCCTGAGGTGCTGTCAGCCCATACCTGGCATGTAGTAGGCCCTCAGTTCAGTTGAGTTGCTCAATCATGTTCAACTGTTTGTGACCCCATTTGATGGGTCATCCCATCTGACCCATCCAGGGGAGCTGTTTGTCTCAAACCGTTCCAAGTCTCTTGCCCTCAGCTGCCTTGGCAGCTCCTGCCAGCTTATCCTCACTTGACATCCACCATACCTGCCTTCCTGTTTTCTTTCCATTTTTGTCCATTCCTCCTCTTCCTTTGATAGAAATGCATCACAATGTCTTTTTCTATAATACTGTTGCTTTGTGATATTCCATCTTTAATGTAATAGATATTATGCTGTTTCTTGCTCAGAATCACCGAGGTCTTTTTAAAAATTCAGATCAGCAACTTTGAGTTGTAGAGGAGGGAAAACCAGGGCAATGTAAATAACCGGGTAGAGCTAGAGAGACGGAAGGGAAGTTAACAATAAAGAAGGCCCTGAATGAGAGAGGCTGGGGGAGGAGATGTAAACACCCACACTGGCCTGGGCCAGCTCTTGCTTCTCGGCTGGACCCTGTGGTCGGGGCCTGGCAGTGTCAGAGACTTAACTTTTCTAGTTTTCCACTGTCCTGGAACATGCTGTAAAAGCTCATGGCACAAAGGATGCTATAGCTTCTACCTTATAACAAGGGGGCTATGGAAAAGCACAATGAAAGCATCAGGATTGCTGATCATGTGATATATTCTTGGAAATTAAAAACCTTTAGGAATTAACTCTTTTTAATTGTCTCCACTAGCCCACTTTTGACTGGACAAATGTTGGAGAGAACTGCCACAGAATTTAACCAGTTACAGTTTCATGCTGTTCAAAGGCTTGCCTCTTTTGGACAAAATAAGACCAGTAACTGTTGTTTTAGATGTTTCACACTTTAGTATTTAGGAATTTGCTAAATTATTTTGATTTTACCTGGCACAGGCAGACCTTGTTTTATTGCCCTTAGATTTATTGTGTTTCACAGATACTGCATTTTTTTTAAATTGAAGATTTATTGCAGCTCTGCATCAAGCAGGTATATCACCATGCTAGTAACCCTTTTAACAGCACTTGCTCACTTCAAGTGATGTTATCTCTGTATCTCATTCTGGTAGTTTTCACAGTATTTCAAACCTCTACCAGCAAAATGATGATAGCTTACTGAAGGTTCACATGATGGTTACATTTTTTAGCAATAAAGCATGTTTTAATTAAAGTAATTAAGGTCTATATCTTGGGTTTTTTTTACACATAATGCTTTTGCAAACTCAATATACTGTATCTAGTACAGTATAAACATACCCTTTATATCTGCTGAGAATCCAAGAAACCCCCAAAACTGGCTTTATTGTGCTAGTAGTCAATTTATTGTGGTGGCCTAAAAACAAACCTGCAGTATCACCAAGGTATGCTTGTATTGTTCTGACAGTTGTTGATCTGCAGGATTTTGAAACTAGCTTTGAATTTTCTCTTTCAGTTTTTGTTTTTTAGGCCCCTGCCTCCTAAGTGTCACACATTATAGATTTTGTGTAAAGACACAGGCATATTCTCTTAGTTATAAGGGTAAAATTAATTATAAATTTCATGTAACTTGACACACTATATGATTTAGTCAGAATTAATTTATCCAAAATTCTTGACTGGACTTTAGAATCATGATGTTTGTCAGATTTACTCTATAGCTTAAAAGAACCTCATTCTGAAGTGATATCTAAATCCTCCTTTGATACAGCAAAGATTAACTTACAAAGAGATGTGAGGAGGAGGAAAGATTCATTGTTCCTCTCCAGAAAATGTTTGCATTTAATTTTACATATCTTCTGTTAGAATAAGAAATGTGTTATGCGTGTGTTTGGATCTTTACAAATGATTACAACTGGAGCTTTTTAACCTGTCTTTCTTGCAGAATATAGCTGGTATTACAGCCATGTTACAACAGTCACTGGAAGGCCTCCTATTAGAAGGTCTTCAGACTTCCAATGTCGATATTATTCGTCACTGCTTACGGACTTAACGCCACAATTGACAAGACATGGGATGCAGAGGCGTTAGTTGGTCAAGTCCTGGTGAAACCATACATAGATGAGGTTTGTGTACTGTTGAATAAGGCCTTCCTTCAGCAGATGTTCATAGAGCATCTGCTCTGTCTTGAATGCTTTACTGGGTGTAAGGGGTAGTTTAGAGGCCTTTCTGTAAAGACTCTCAGTTACTGTAGTACCATCAGTTGGAAGAAAATGTTGGTCCCTGATGGTTACAACCAGCATGCAGGAGTCAGGCACCTTCTCAGTGTTTTTTAGTGATGCTGTAGCCCAGGGATCATGTTAATTTAGTGGGAGGAGGGTCTTGCCTAGGGAGAAGGAATGTATCAAAACATTTTTAGGTCAGTTTTATGGTATGTAAATTATTTGTCACTAAATTCTTAAAATGAATTTTTAACTACTGGTCTAGTAGGGAAAATGGAACAAGTAAGCAGATACCAAAACTGCAGTGTAAGTTCCTGGTAAGGGAGCCTGCTGAAACCCTGACCATGGAAAGTCTGTACTGAAGGTTGTCTTCACAGAAATGTGGCCTAAGTCTTGAATACTGAGGAGTCTCTTAGCCAGGAAGGTGGGAGGGAGGAAATAGTCATTGATGCAGGACTTTCATAGGCAAATTAGCAGCATAATACCCTAAGTCCAAAACCTCACTATCCAGTATCCTTCATCTCCAGGGATGCAGTTAAGCTTTGGAAAGTAAGCATATTCTGCCTTTGAGCAGCCAGGATGTAGACTGAACCGTATGAAGTTGCCAATGCTCAACGTCTTCTGACACACAGAAACGGCAGCTTCATCTGGCTCACACTGGTGAAAGTCACAAGCCCGTCCTCAGTGTTTGCAGACCCTCTCCAGTCCTCTGTCCGTGTGGGTGCTCGTCCTGTCCAGTAAGCACAAAGCCCTGTTCACCGTGGCTTTGGGATGAAAGCCTCCCGTTTATAAATGGGGGACATGGAATCCCATTGATAACAATGAAATGTAAGATTAACTCCAGTAATCCTTTCAGCTTTTATTAGAGTTACTAAAAATAAATGATCTGTCGGTTTCCTCTCTTCCTATCCTGTTATATTTCTTACCTAACTTGATAAAAATAGAAAAGACAAATTACCTACATTATTTCTGTCTCAGTAAGTGAAAATCATTACTAACTTATGCCTTTGTTTTTCATTGAACTGAACCTAATGTGCTAAATGAGAGAAACATTTGATGTTTCAGTGGCATATTAAATAAACCAAGGCCACATTTTAATTTTTTTTTAATTCGTATGCTTATCTTGTCATTAACCTCTTGACTGTCAACCTTAACACCAAAGATAATAAAGTAAAATAAAATATATATTTCCATCTTTCTCTGTCTCACGCCTTCCCCTGATCTAAATTATGGTAGAAGAGAAGGCTGAGGTCAGTACATGGAGGGGCTGTTGTTATGGGAAATTGTCACTTTATTTTGTTTTCGGTCTCGGTAGGGGAGGAGGCAAATGTGATTGGCTTTCCAACTTCGGGCCAGTTTCTGTCACCCAGCCTGTGTCTCCCCTGGGTCAGAGCTGTGCTTCCAAATCCTGAAACTAGTTCAGAGTATAGCTGTTACTATTAGAAAACATGGTAGCTGGGGAGGAGGGGGATTGAGGAAGCATACTTTTGAGGTTTTCTCTATTTTTCCTGTAGTGTGTAATTCATACCTCTCTTTGAGATGCTTTTTTAAAATGCTATTCATTTAATAGGTGATTCTAGAGCATATTGTCGATAGTCATCTGACTGATCTCCAGCTCATGTATGATAAACTCTTGGAGTTCGTTCCCCATCACTGCCGCCTTCTTCAAGAGGTCACAGGAGGAGCCATCTCAAGGTAGTTTAAGCAGCTGTACTCAGAACTTGTGCCTGCTGATTATTGCTGCCTCGTTTGGGTCGGGTTCATATGCGCTCTCTGGTGAATTGTTAGCATGGCGCTATGAGGTGGATGTGGGTCACCGCCTCAGAAGGAAACTGTAATGAGTAGGGCAGAGGTAAAGGGTGCATCTTTGTGAATTCACAACCCATACTTTCCCCTTTTGTGTACTTTTTCCTCAATTACATGTGAAATAAAAGTTGGTTTCCTTCCATTACTTTAATGTTGTAATCTGTTTATAAATTTGAATTCAGTGTAACTCAACAAGTTTTATATTAATTGTGGTTAAAGTCATCTTCAATTTTCCCTCCTCTTGCCTGATTTCCATACTTTTCGCATTGTTTCATAAATACCCGGCTGCCTTTCACCAACACCACTGGCCTGATCCAGGCCTTTGTCATAGTCTTATCCAGAATAACAGGATCTGCCCAACTCCTCTCCCTGCCTCCACCCTCTCCCTTCTCACCCATCCCCTCTGCCCTTCAGCGGTCACACTGACCCACAGTTCTGATATTTAGCCACTGCCTTCTTCCTAAGTCTTTAGTGGCTTCTTGTTGCGTGTGGAGGAAAGTCTAGGCGTCTTAATGCGGCGTACGAGGCCCTGCGCACTCCGGCCTCAGTGGTCCTTATGTGTGGCACTCTGTGGGCTTCCCTTGCTCCGCTGGTTCCCGGCACACATTTGGTCTGTGTTTTTCCTCAGAGTCCTCTGCCCTTCCCTTTCTTTTTGTTGATCTGTCATCCCGTGTGAAGCCCCAACTCAGATGCCACTTCCTTCAAGAGACCTCTCACCTTTCATCCTGAAGTCTAGCTTTCATCCTGTTCTCTGCAGGCGATTGCATGTTGCTTTCGCTTCTGTTGAGGACTAATTTCCATCTTAACAGTTTGCTCCCATCCTGCACAACCTATACTCCCCACCCTTGGCACAGTGTCTTAAGACAGCAACTATCCAATGTTTATGAAATGAAAGACTCAAGTCAATTTGCAGCACTAGAAAGGCAAATCAAGTCCCTTTCTTCATGGAGTAAAAATTATTTTTAGTCTTGAAATTTTTTTTCTTTGAAAAGAGAAACCTGGGGAATAAATTTGCTGATTGACTGGGAAGTACCCTCTCTGTTTCCACTAGATGATTTCAGATGAAGCTTTGTTTTGCCACTTTTGTGTAATAATCATGAAGATTTAGTTGGATTTGGATTTGGGGTAAGAATTTAATAGAAGTCATCATGTGAAATTAAAGAGGCCACAGTAACGAAACAACCAATCTTTAGATTTGACAAGCGTAGTCTTGGTCCTGAAATGTCAAGTTTCATGCCTCACATGTTTGTTCTTTTCCACAGTTTTGAGGGTGGCAGAACTCATGTAGAAAGCTCAGAAATTTGAGTATCTAGACTGTACCTTGGTAGGTCATCTGCCTTTGCTTCACGCTGCATCGTCTTGTTGCCCTGGACCCTCCCTTGCTCAGCATCTGCCTTTGGGTGCTCTGTATACCCAGCAATAGCAGTGATGTTCAGGAGTTGTTTTCCAGAGGACGTAAATTAGCTTTTCTAACTGTTGATCTTAAAGAGTTAAATTTTCCTTTTGAGGCTTTAGTTGTATATTTAGTTTGGAAATGAGGTGATCTTGTCATTCATTTGCTCATCTTGTGTGCATTTGTATTTTAAAATCTTCAATTTTGTTCTCTCTTCCTATACCTTATTAGAGCTACTTCTTATTGGGATTAAAAGTATATGATATGATACATGGAATTGGGTATGTGGGACATAGGCATCTCCTTTCCCTCATCGAATATAAAAAAAAAAAAAAAATTTACCTTAATATAGAGCATGTTAACAATGCAGCAAAGTGGGTAGATCAGTGAGATGCTGTTGCCTAAAGATATTTACAGATTCTTAAGTAGAGAGAAACTTAAGGAACCCACCTTTTTTATTTATGTACTGTGTATTTAACACTATTAACATAACTCTTAATATATGTTAGTAAGTGCTAAATGCTTTGCAAACCATACACCATCCTAAATGCTTTACCAATCTTATTCCATATAATGTTCCTATGATTTTAAAGATGAGGAAACCAAAACACAGAGAAGTTAAATGACCTGAGATTTGAACTCAGGTTCTGTGACTCCTGAGAGCTTGATTTTATCTCAGTGTTCTCTCTCACCTAAGTGTGTGAATTAGAAACTCAGAATTTGGCCTTTTTGCTTACAATGCAAAATAAAGCATGTGCATATGAAAACCATGAATGTTATCAGTTTTTTGTATTAAGATTTGTAACCTAGATTTTACATGAAATAGTCATAGAACATTAGACCTGAAGGTAATCAGAGATAGCTGAGTCACAAAGCTGTTAGTAATTGGTAAATTAGTGTGATTTACAGTGTTTTAGAGTTGAGTGGTGTTAAGGTTGAATACAAAGATTGTTTTTCTTGTGGTATTAGATTGCTGCTTTTTCAAGATAGTGTATAAACCATGGTAACCCATTTTAGGGGAGACAACTGCCACAGCAAGTCGGTGTAGTTGTCCATTATCCTTGACCCCAACTGTCTGCTATGTGATAATTGTAGGAGTCAAGACACAGAGGATGTGTCAGGTTCTAGGTGAGAATGAGATCAAGGAGTGAAATAGAAGTTTGGGCCTAAAAACAAAATAATTGACATAGTTTTTTTTAAAGGTTGAAGTAAATTTTAGGCTAAGGAACTTTTAATAAAACATCACAATGGAATTTTGCTTTTTGTAAGTAAATGTTTCTGGTGTATTTGACTAAAATTTTTCTCTTATCTTACAGTGAAAAGGGCAATACTGTTCCTGGCTATGATTTTTTGGTGAATTCTGTCTGGCCAGAAATAGTATGAGGATTAGAAGAAAAATTACCCTTGCTTTTTAATCCTGGGAATCCTGATGGATTTCACTAGGTACCTTTCCCTCTGTTGTCTTGATTCTTGCAGTTGTTAACCTGAGATAGTCATGTCTTTTTTGCACAGTCTTGGTTCTGTGGTTTATTGAAAATCACAATCTGAGTTGCAGAGCCAGCATTTACCTTAAAAATACACACATTATTTTATTCAAGTCATAGTCTCTGATACTTTGGGGACTAAGAATATTTTTTAGAATATAAGGTAGAATTCAGTAGAGAAGCAATTATGACTAGATATGGATGTTTTTATCTACGTTTTAAAAAAGGTCTTAAGGACCGCTGAAAACAAATCTCTTTACAGTTGTTTTTGATGAAAAATTAAGTTTGCAGATCTCTGCTATATCGCTTTGAAGGAAAACAAGAAGTAATTGGATTGTAGTATATATTATATAACTAATATTATAATTATTAATGTAGTATAAAATGTCCTATATAATTTGAAAGATTAGGAGGCCTTGATATTTCTTTTTTTTAAAAAAAATCATGTTTTTTATTTAAAGGACTTCGTGGTTGATATATCAGAAGTAAACCCATATGTTAATTTTCCATCTTTTAAAGATGTCATGTAGTGTCCTGGAGAAGAATGAAGACTCTAGGCCAAATGGCTGAGTCTGCACCCGCTCTCCTGCTCAGCTCCCTGCTGCTCAGCCTCTCGGTGCCCCTCCTCCTCCTCCTGCTCTGGATTTTGACTTTTGGTTTTTTATTTGTTTATTCAATATGACAATCTTTGTCTTGTAATTAGGTAATTTATTAAATTTACAGTGATCATAGTGATTGATATATTTGCAGTTTTTTTAGTTCTTCCTATTTGTCCCATTTTTCTTCCTTCTTTTCCTTTCTCTTGTCTTTTTTTTTTTTTTTTCTTTCCCCTTCTTTGTATTGTGCACTTTCGGGAATTTGTTTTTCTCATTTATTCTCTTTTACCACTCTACTAATTTGGAAGTTCTGCCCTCTGTTTATTTGTGTATTAATTAACCTTAGTATTTACTTAACAGAATTTAAAGTTACTGGTGTTCTTCAGCCTTCCATACAGCACAAGGATCTTAGATGCCAATCATGTCATTCCATAGTATATATTAGTTACCAGGGTCTTATTTCTATTTTGATTTTTTTATGCCCCCCCAATTGGACATTATTTTTATTGCTTTAACATGGCCATCCTCCTCCTCTCAAAAATATTCCACATTTTATCATTTCCTTTGCTTATTGTTCCTTCTTGGATGTTATACCTTTTCTCTTAGATCATTTTCCTTCCTCTAAAAATTCATCTGTTGTGAATTTCTGTTGATAATAAATTTCACTTTTTTAGTCAGTCAATATTTGTTTGAAAATAACTTTATACCTTTTATGTTTGAAAGGTAGTTTTGCTGGAAGTAGAATTCTGTGCACTTTGAACTTTGTCACTTGAAAGTAGTTGTTGCTGTTGTTGCTTGGTAGTTATAATGGCTTTTTCCCCTGGCTCCTTTTGAAATTTTCCCAGTGACTTTGGTGTGCTATTTCATTATGATATATCTAGTGTGGACTTCTTTTTATTTGCTGAATTTAAGATTTGTTGGGTTTTCTGAATCTGAGGATTGGTGGGTCTTTTTCATTTCTGTATCATTTTTATTTATTAACTCAATTGTGCTTCTGTCTAATTCCTTTATTATTTGCTTTTAGAACTCTTAATTAATTATCCTCACTTTATCTTTCATGTTTCCTGAATTTACTTTTTTTATTTTTCATCTCTTTGTGCTACATTCTGGGTAATTTCTTGGGACTTTTCTTCTAGTTCAAGAATTCCTTCTTCAGTTGTGTCTAAATTCCTTTTCAACTGTTTCAAATTTATCATTATTTTCATTTCTAGAAGCTCTATTTGCCTCTTTCTAATTGTGCTTGGTCACTTTGCTTACTGATTTTTAAAGTGTAGAGAGGCACACGGAGAAGGCAATGGCACCCTACTCCAGTGTTCTTGCCTGGAAAATCCCATGGACGGAGGAGCCTGGTAGGCTGCAGTCCATGGGGTCGTGAAGAGTCCGACATGACTAAACGACTTCACTTTCACTTTTCACTTTT